AAACAGTTTTCCATATTTTGTTCAGATGCAACAAATAATTTAGAAAGTAATCAGCACATTAATCAATAATTAAAGTATGCAGCCCAACAGATGACAGAGGGAAATTGAAAACACCTCACAAATCAGACAAACAAGTCTGCAGTCACCTCAGTTTTCCTCCATAGCAGAGTTGAAATGAGCATTATTTTATGTTTAGCAGAGGTTTGCAGTCAACTTGCGAGGAGAAATGCAAAACATGATCTAAATGGTCACTTGAGAGTCATTTCAAACACATTTTAACATCAGTAGGGAACTCAGATACAATATCTAAGATGATAAATCTGAACGGGACTATAATCATAAGACAATCTAGAACTGAAGTAACACACCACTCAAAATGCTGAAGTAAAGAAGTAATAGATTTGTCAGTCTTATTTAAAAGTCCATTCCCTTTCTGTCAGTATGTTAAAGCTTTTTGTGAATGCAAACAGTCTGTGTTATGTTTTAAAGCTGAAAATTGACACCAAAGTCAGTTTCTTCTTCCACAGAAAACACTGGTGCTTCTCTGCCTGAAATGCCTTGTTTCTAGACCAGATTTTTTCTGTGTTACTGATTCATGTAACACCTTTGGCTAAGGCCTGCCTGGCAACAAAGAATGAGCAGCTTCCTTAAAGTCCAGCCACAGGCAAAGCACAACCAAAGGTTCTAGTGTTGGCTGCAAGAATTTTCATGCAATCCTGGCTTCCAAAAGAGTTGAAGATCCAGTGGATTGTTTTTTATTTTCAATGGCAATGCACCCGCAACACTGGGAAAATCCTTATTATTAGCACGTCGTGTGGCTAATGCTACCATTGGCTGAGGTCAGAGCTACGTCAAAATAGTAAACCTGAGGGATATTATTGCACAAAAACATCATGCATTGTGAAACACTTCTGCAGCCGTCTTCGCATTCTGGATGTGATTCTGGTTGAAACGTGTACGGATGAACTCAGGGGTTTGTTATAAATTCAAGAATACAGTGCGTAAACCAACAGCCCCTTATTTTTGTTGGGCCACCTCAATAGTCAGACCAGACTGAACTTTTCAGAGGGGGGCCTAAAAGAGACGGGAGCTACAGAAGCTAGTGAAGAGAGGTGCTGCAAACATTTAAGCATAAGAAAAATAATGTGTTTTTGAATATTAAAGTATGTAAACCTGTTCTAGTAGACCTGAAGTATGACCACAATACATGAAACTGTAAATGTGAACAATACAGCCTATTTGAATCATAATGGTATCACAGAGCACACAGCTCACCTTGGTGGCTGCAGTGACGGCAGCATTAGCAGCCAGGTTGAGACCCCGCTTTCCGAACCTCATCATGGTCTCATAGCTCCTGTCTTTGGCCTGTGCTATGTATTCGTCTATCTCCTACAGCACACAAGAACAGTTAAGGGGGAGAAGTGAAGGACAACAATATATGGCATCAGAATAAAGAAAAAGGGGGAAATTGGATGAAAAAAAAAAACAAATCGGAACACTTTAATGTGCACGCACACACCAGTTTACATTTGCAAGACTGACTTTGTCCCTTAAACGGGCACAGTTCCTACCTTCTCTTTGTTGGACAAGGTTGGGTGGACAAACTTGCGGTAGAGGACGCTGGAGCCCTTGGTGTATGGGGACAGGAGCCAGATCACAAAAGCAATCTTTAGCTCAAAGTAAAATGGAAACCTGGGGAATAAAACGCAGAGAAACACATCAGGAGAGAGGAAAAGGGAAACATAAAGGCTCTAAGGAAGGTGTAGATGCTTGAGTCATAAACAGAGAGAAACAAGAGAAAAGAAGATCTAAGTGTACAAGATGCATTTTAGGATTCTAAGGTAAAACAAAAAAAGGGATTCTTGTATTACAAACATCAAAAGCATTTAGATACACACATGAAGACATCTATTGATTTCATAACAGCTGTTTTTTTGTATTTTATGTTATTTTTTGTAATCACAAGGCGGTGGGTCACGGGGGGTCGTGATCACCAGCAGCTCCTGACTCACCATGATAGGAGCAGGTCTGTGGCCGTCTCTGCTGTCGTGAACAACGCAAATACTATCCAGTACATCATCCACTTTACCTGGACACACACATACAGAGGCACAGAGAGAGAAAATCGTATAAATAGCACATGAAAACACACAGCAATCCCGTGCACACGTGCTGAGACACGTGGCGCTAAACAGAAGCTATGCACACACACATGCCGATGCAGAAGCGTAACATATGTCCCAGTCCGTCCGCATCACATCAGTATGCATGGTTAAATCTGCGAGACGGAGGAAAATGTGGGACATCGTCTAAATTGTGCCACAAACTTTGAGGCAAAATTAGTCTGGGAACCAATATCAAACAGCACAGATTTAGCAGAGACACGTGAAAAATCCAACATATAGGTGCATCAGTTCTAAGAATAGCACTGCATGGTGCTGTGTGTTTAAAGGTGTTAACAGACCACTAACAGCTGTATGGACACGCGTGATGCTGAATCCTTCGACTCATTAGAAACGAGCCAAACAACATGAAAGAAGGGAATGAAAACATCAGCTCTAAAAATGGCGTCCCCCCCCCCCCCTTCCCGACTCTCTCCTTCCCTTTTCCTCCTCCCCTTATTCGTTCCTTCTGTGGCCGTCTGCTCCAGCAGCGACAGAGAGGGTGGGTTGCCATGGTAACCTGCCAGGAGGAGACTGCTCTCCAGTGCAAATCTAGGCTGAGAGCCAGAGCGCCGCTGTCTCCTCCTCCTCCTCCTGGAGCCCCTCTATCCGTTTCTTACTCACACCATGCAGCGATGAGGTAAGCAGGAGGGACCCCATTTAGCTGATGCGACTCGCAGCCAAAGTCGGACTGCTTTTTATTCTGGTTTCCACGAACAACACTGGCTACCCCATCTTGAACTGGTGACCACTTTATTTGTTGTGTAATTCAAAGATGTTCCCACTTTACAGCTTGCATCTTACAGATGTCCCCCCACCTCAATGTGGACTGCTTTAAAACGTCGACAGTGAAGAACAAGGGTTGGACATACATGTAACAGAGCTTGCATTTAAACTACGAAGGTATCAAGGGACTGGGTAGCTTCAGCAACGCCAAAATTACATCTTCCAATTGAACTTTCTGACGAACTAATCATCCATGAAGTGCTGTTATAAAAGGAATTTAAACCAAATCAAGCTGAAAATCATGACATGTCTGTTTTTGAAATCATGTTATTCTACACATAGCATTTGACAAATTTACCAAAAAATTAACAAAAACAATCCTTTTATGCTAACCTTGGTACAACTATGAAGCCACGAGTGACTCAGCAGTGACCAGCAGTCACATGATAAAAAAATAAATAAATAAAAAATTGTAGGGACTTTGAAGCTGCAGTGGGCTGAACTGCAGGCTGTGTTTATGGCAAGAGAGGAGCGGTATGGAATCAATTTAACAATGTAAATAATAAAACATCTACAGCGTGTAGCGTCACCACTTCTTGACAATACTGGTAACATTTATGAGCACTTAAGAAAATGTCGTGCATATGAATTTCAGGGTTTTTTTTTCTATTTTTGTAACATAAATAATCTAAGAACTTTCCTTTTTTTTTTTTACGATTTATGGCATTATTGTATAGAACATGTTTTTTTTTTTTTAGTTCTCTCTACATCTAGCTACGGTGGTTCCATTTCCATAGAAATGCTGATAATGAGATTGCAGTGAAAAATTTGATCAGCGAGTAAAAATGTCAACAAAAAAAAAAAACACTCAGCAACCTCACCCTAAAGGTTCAGAGGGTGAACCTCGCTTTGGATGTTAGTTTTGGTCCAAATGCTCATGAGATCAGTTTCTTGGCTCCCAACGTTTTGGTTCGTTTCCTTTTATACAATGCAATGCCACATCACATATTTAACATGTTTTCTTTTGTTTGTTTTTTTTAAATATAGTTTTGGGGCTTTTTTGCCTTTATTTAGAGCAGTAGAGATAGACAGGAAAGGGAGGAGAAGAATGGGGAGAGACCTGCAGCAAAGAATCATGAGCGGGAGTCGAACCTACGACCGCTGTGTCTGGGAACTATATCCCCTGTTCATGGGTCGCCCGCTCAACTAGGTGAGCTATAGGGGCACCCATTTAATGCATTTTTGAGTCACAAGTGTTTCAAACAAAGTGATTTCCACTTTTGAAATAGGAAATATAAATATTTTTAGGCCCGAACAGGTAAAACCTTTACCATTTCAAAAGATATGTCCAAGTGTCTTGTACCAAAGAAATGCAGTGGAAGCTAAAAGTACAAGAACACACTGAAAATCTGTCACACCTTCATGGAAAATAATTACAAATAATTAAAGAATTTGAGGATTTAGAATCACTTTAACCACTAGAAATAAGATTTTGCACTATTTCTGGATCAGCAGTCCAATAGAAGAACATTTGTGGCGCTGACGTCTACAAACAGAAAAGATTTCTTTCAGTTGTATCGTTCCACTGAAGCAGTTTGCCGATGACACTTCGTCAGGATTCTCATCAGAGGAAATCAACGAGCAGCCATTGTTTGCCTGTAATTTTTCCAGAACACTGCTCACTAAGTAGCAGTGTGAGACTGGAAAACATGGCACCAGAACTAAGAGAAAGCATCCGAAAACAAACATAGCTATTCGAAGCAAAGAGGAGCTTTCTCAGCATCAAACCACAACTAGAATGACAATCCCTAAGTAGGCAGGGCAAAGCTAGAAACTGCTCTGTAGAAACAGTTGTATCCAAAGATCCAAAGCACGAGCAGACAGAACAGGAGTGCCCACACCATTCAGATTAACACATCAAGGTTTGTTCAATGGCAGACAGAAAAGAAACTTTATTTAAACTTTAATTTGTAAAATAAATAAAAGACTTCTAATCAGTGAGAGTCCTGCCAAAACAAAAAAAAAAAGCTGTCGGGTAGGTTAGGTTAGCTGGGCAAAGACGTACCAGCATTAAACAGTGGATGACTTAGAGTCCTATTTACCGTATATATCAAAGTGTGAGATTTATGGCAGTGTACGTGAGGAGATAAATATGTCTGGGCAGATTCGCAGTCATCCAGGTCATGGGAATCCTGAAAGCTTCAGTACAAAAGCAACTGGACCGAAGAGGTCAGAACTTGCAGAAGCCTCTTGGACGAGAAGTAAAGCACAGTGAAGGACCTAAAAGAGAAGTCCAGCTGCTTTTTACTGACGTCCTTAGGATTAAGGAGAGAACCAGGAGAGAGAATGAAACCAGAGTATCAAACCTACAGTGAAGCACGGCACGAGGAACCTTTATTTCTGCAGCTGTTTTGCCGACTCTGCTACTGGATTTGGACACCTGCACTGAATAGACTCCACCCTGACCGAGGAGAAGTAGCCCTCCATTCTTCAGAGACATGCTCCACCTTCTGATTTGCATCTTTGGGGAGAAGGATTTATGCATCAGCAGGATAATAATGATCCCAAACACAAAGCTCAGCGAGAAATATTTGAAGATCAACGAGTGCTGACTTTCCTCCAATCACCTGAACTCAGCTCCATTGAACATCTAACATTTCAAGAAGCTGTGATTCAAGATCAGATGATGATGGGATAACATGGTTTATCAGTCCACACAGCGCTGCTGCTAACAATGAAACAAAAAGGGCAGACCAACATTTTTCAACATTTCACTCAAACTGTTGAGCTCATATTATCTTTTCTAGTGAAACACCTGTGTTTTAGATTCGAAACAAATGTAAAAAAACAAAATAACGGTCTTCTTCTGGTGTTCGATCACACTCCTGACACATGGGAACGAGATGACGCAGTTGGGTTTTCGCAATCTGCAACACGGCATGAGCATTCAGTCATTAGAAGGTGCAGGCATGCACATTTTTTGTACTCCTTGCAGGTGTTAAGACAAAAATGATCTGCTCAAACAAAGGAGAGGAGGCCTACACTACTGTCTTGCTTCATGAGTTTTAAAGTTAAAACCCTGTCATGTGCATTTATGTAGAACAAAGGAACCATTAGGAAGAGTTAGGAACAAGACAATGTGCAGGTATTTCATCTTTCAGTGTTGTTATGGTGCCTCAGCGACCTGGTTTCATGAAGGTTAGTGTGCCCTAATTAAGCTGCCCTGCCATGCTTCTAATCTTGTCTGGGAGACCCGGATCATTATCAAACTTGCCAAGTGACATTGTTCAAAGAAACAAAAACAGTCAATGCTGCCATCATTAAAACAGAAATTAGTCTCAGTAATTAACGTGCGTCTACCGATGAAACAATGTCAGGCGTTTCTCTGACCTACATTCGAACCAGCGTGCTTCACTTTACTATCCTTCTCAGCACATAAATTTAAAACTTAACACGTTTGAGTAAAAATAGCTGGAATCAGCCCTGAGCCAAACATCCCAAAAATCTAACAGAGCAGACAGGGGTCAAAAACAGTCTGCTGAGATTTAGTAACCAGAGGTGATACTCACATATTCCTTCACATTCTTCGTTTTGACAGCCTTGTATGAGGAGTACGCCGGGTAGAGTGTCCCAAAGGCAAGGCTGCAACAAGCAGAGGAGCAGAGAGGTTTGGGTCAGAGGAAGGAGACTCAGCTTAGAGAACAAGGCCTCTGGGCGTTCACTCCGACACCTCCTGCAGATTAGCCATGCTTGCCCTGAGCTTATGTAAACACAAGCAGCTAATATTGTCAAGTTCTGTATTGTCAAACTAATTATACGTAAACAGAGTCAGCCTCTAAATGGTTTTGAATCGAGTGTTGATGCCACAGAAGAGAACTGACGGGCAGTGACTTGTCAAAACACACTGGCCTGATGATCAGAGCAAACAACATAATGGAGATGGTGTAGTCAGGAAGACTGCAGCGAGATAAAGTGGAAAAACACACAGAAGTCTGCCCGGGGTGGGTCACCATGTGTTCCGTCCTCGTGCAGATTGGGACACTAAGCACACAGAGCCGTGTTTTTGATGTGCATTTGGTTCCATCCTCTGCCACCATGCTGATTTGTGCTGATGTGACAGGATACTGAATGCTGAGTGAGAGGACGGCAGGGAGAATACAGTTCAGAAAGTCAGTCTGAATGCATGCTTACAGGGGAAATGAGCGGAGCATTTATCTAAACTTAAGGTTCCACCGTTTATAACACAGACATTCTCGAGGAGACCTGTGCTCCCAGATGTTGGTAGCCTAAGAATATCTATTATTTTTCTCAGCATTCAAGTAGGTCTTCTGTCCCAGTAAATGTCTGAACTGCTCAGTCATGTGTGCAGTGCCTCCCAGCTCTGTACAGTAAGCTGAGCTGACTCGTAGCAGGCCTCTAGGCCTGTAGACTCCCTCAACAGACGCCCTGTGCCTCTCTGTGGCCACATCTCAAGTTTTGTTCAGAGTGCGAAGCCATCCAGTCCTTTCATTTAGACTTGGAGACATCAAGCATATGGTGATTTGAGTTACAATGCTTGTTCCTGTTTTCAGGTTAGGACAAATAATTTTTTTTGCAAAATAAAACAATAATAAGAATAAAAACAGGCTAATTACGAGGAAGCTGCATTTCAAAGCACACAGTAAAGATGAGAAATGGTTGGCCTCACGTCTGATATGCAGCCACTAGTATGATGTATATCCAGTCACACGGTTTGCCTCCAATCGACGCATGACTACCTGAGGTGCAGTGAAGTGGAAGAGCCAGCTGGAAGCCACTAAAAGTAACACTTTGCCAATGTTATCCTCTGATTATGTAATCCATGCAAGCACAGTATTTATAGGGATGAAACACCAGCTACATTTGTACACCTGGGCCTGATTCGGACCACGATAGTTCTGTCTGAGGAATAAGTACAGTCTGAGTGAATCACTGACAAACAGGTGCGGTCAGGTGACACAACATCATGCTGAAAAGAAACCTGTCACAGTCAAATGCAGCACTGTCTGGGACTGGGATGATGACAGCTGCTGGCTTTGGTTGAGTCATTGCTGGGATGTGGTGTGTGTGTGTGTGTGTACAGGTGGAATCTGAGGCCTGAGCTGCTGCTGACACTGCTCCTATGATCACAGCAAGAGATCTGTCTCTAAAACACACCAGTCATTATCGGTCAGTCGAGGATGCACACACGCATCCCTCACCACATTTTACCAGCTCATGTTACCATGTGGTGCTGAAATGCTCCGTGTGATTTTTTTTTTTTTTTTTTTAAAGGCCATGGCAGGCAGTTAGGAGTCTGTTCACTTGTCTGCAAGCGAGGCAGGCATATTAAGCAGGCTGAATAATGTGGTTAGCTAAAGCTGCCAACACAGTGTCCGTCAGGTGGATACGGTTACTAGCTAGCCAGCATATGTTAGCTACCAGCGGCTAGCAAGCGCTGGATGCAGATTGTGCTGCATCATTGTGTTAATTAGAGAAACGGAGCTGCTGTTTTGTGTGCACACCTGGCTAAACACCACGTTAAGCACAGTATACTTGTGCATTGCCGAAGTGTGACTGTACGCGGACGGAAAATGGATGACAGCCTAGCTAGTGAGGACAGCTGATGAATGGAGGCTAACGGTTGAACAGCCGCTACTCACACAACTATCCTCGAAATGATCCAGGATACCATCTTGCTGGAGCCTTCTCCGCTTCTAGGAAATGTAAGTCGGCTAGCAGAACGGGCTAGGTGCCCCCCATTCCCCCTTGCAGGACGCTGTTGTGTTCCGTGGTGAGCCGGCCCGGTGTCTGCCGAGCCGAGCCGAGCCGAGCCGAGCGGAGCGGAGCTGTCAGGTAACGGCAGCTGTGGATGTTCTCTGCAGTGTGAAGCTCCGAGCTGGTCCGATCTGTGCTGCTGGAAACACTGTCTCTTAAAGGGCCACGGTCATCCTGGTAAATGTGTTGTTTTAACTTTGGAAAAAAAAAAAAAGTGTCTCATGATGCTGTGACAGGATCAGTTGTGCCAAAAACAGCAAATATGACCTGCCTTTTCTCCCAATAACGTTTTGACTGGAATAAGGGCTTCAATTCATTGCTGATTTTATTTTATTTTTTTTAAGTGTTGACTATCAATTGAGTTGACCACGTGTAAAATATATATATATATATATAAAAGGGCTTCTGGACAATACTAGTGAAGCACGATATTTGGCCGATACCGATGTGGTCGCCGATATATTGTGCATCCCTAGATAAAACTTAATAAAGAAAAAAAAAGAAGAAAGAAAATGAAAAATAAAAAAAAAGTGGGGTCAATGCTTGAAGGGCCATAACTTGAGAAATAATGCAGAAGGAGTCCTGAAATTGTGCAGGCTCATTGACATGTACATATGATCATCAGTGGTTATCTTATGCTGCATACATGGGCATGACAGGGTTCTAACCTTGAAACTGAAACATTGTCATGAAACAAGACAGTAGTACAGGCCTCCTCTTATTTGTGTGAGCAGATCATTTTTATCTTAACACCTGCAAAGAGTATAAAAATGCTCACGGCAAAAACCCAACTGCATCATCTCTTCTCAAAGGTGTCATGAATGTGATCGAACACTAGAAGATTAGAGTGTGGAGACAATTTTAAAAAGATATATACACATATATATATATATATACGTATACAGAAGCACCAAATGTCTGACACCAAGAGTGAAAATAGTTCTATTTCTTTGCATTTGTTTTGAATTGATGCCAATGCACTGTTGCCTCGCAGCAAGAAGGTCGCCGGTTCGCATCCAGGTGGGGGCACCGGGATCTTTCTGC